GGTCCTGCCACACGAGTTGACAACATCCGAGTGTTTGCCAGGGCGGGATGTATGTATGTATGTCTGATTGTGTGGCAGGAAAAAGTCATTTAATTTTGACTTTAAAATTAAGCTTTAAAATAAAATTGTTTCAAATATTATAATCCCATAAATCGGAGCTATATTTTTAGTGTAGCTATATGGTCTGCCATCCCTGGAGAGTCTGTGAGTGACATCTCAACCAGCTCTGGACCATGGACCAAGGACCAGAGCCTGTCCTAATGGTCTTTGGCCTCCTGTAACTGACTGATGTTTGCAACACACACAACGCCACACACCCATACCCCCGCACCACTCACACTCATCCAGTGACGCCATAATTAATGATGAAAAATTGCTTCCCACACACCAACACACACACACTTGGACACACAACATATGCACCCGATGTCCTGGGTGGAAAGGCTACAGGAGGTGGTTGGGGGAGTCGGGAGTGAGAAAAAATATAAAGCCATTTGGTTTTGTACGCTGGAAATTAACATGAAAAGGGCAAAGCGCAGCTGCCATTCGCGTTTGGCCCAAACATGTGAGATCGCTCCCAAAAATTCCCTTCCGGAAAACCCCGCCGAAATGGTCAATGCCAAAAGAGAAGAAAAAAAAAACCCCTCAGAACGAAGAACCCCCGGAAAAAAAAGGAAACCCACCCAAACCCATAAAGTGGCGCACTAAAGCGGCCAGCTCGGCAAAGTGATTAAATTGAGTTAATTATGTCCACCGAGTCCTGTGTTAGAGTGAGCAGGACAAATGAGAGTGAGTTTGAAGTTGTACATAAATTATTACAAGGATATTAAATGCTACACACAATAACTGGCAACTGGCAACTGTATGGGGGATTATTGCCAGTATTAAGTGCATATTATCAAAGGCCGTAAAATGCCAGAAGTAAAACACAATTGCTCCTGTGTGAAATTGCTCTAATCTGCCAGGATCTTGAATGCTTTTTTTTTTTTTGTTAAAAACCACTCTTAATCTTCATTTACGAAACAAAAACAAAACAATCACCACTTTGTCTTTGTTAATATTGTTCTTTTCGGAGAATAATTCTCATTTAAAAAGCAATCGAGACTAAGGAATGAGTGTGCCATTTAAATTGAATTATGGATGTCTCGCCAAATTTGCACAAAAATATATGTACATCGAAATATTGAAAAAGAAAAACCAAATCGAAACGAACTTTTATCAAAGTTTATCAAAGCTAAAACATTTAATGGTTCTCCACCATTTCACCAGCCAAGTCTCCTTTTTATTTTATTATACCCGGTACTTGTAGAGTTAGAGGGTATATTGTATTCGTTGAAAATGAAAAGAGAAAATAGAGATAGAGCTATAATATTTTGAATATAAACTCAAAAATAAGAAGGCCTATGTAGTTTAAAATTCAGCCAAATCAGTCGGGTTTAGAGAAGTTATAGACTTTTTAGTTTGCTGCCCTACTAGCTTAAATTTTGCGCCCTTAAGTATGCAACAAATTACCTTTAGAAGGGCTTGTAATGATAGATATAAGTACCGGGTATCATACAGTCGACAAACTCACCTAAAACCATCCTTACTTGTTTTTTTTATTCGATTTTTATTTTTATTTTGTGTATGGTATGGCCGCTCTTATCTAAAAACCCGTTAAATTTATTATGCAACATTGCGAGCGGGTGGAAAATGCGATTTCTCATTCGATACAACAGATTCAGGTAAACATTCGCCGTGTGTGTCCGGCAAATAAATAAAAAAGCGAGCGCAGATTCTGTTGGCGCGTGTAACGTGAAATAAAAATCGAGCCAGTGATGGGGGGTTTTTGGGGCGCAGAAAAAAAAACAACATTAACAAGGGGGCAGAGAAAAAATTTAACTTAATTGCCAAACACACAGACGCACACGCAGACCCGCCCTCTCACCAAAAAAAAGGGTGTCGCTTTTGTGTGGTTGTGTTTTTCGCGGCGTTTTCCCGAAAAGTATGGGAGTGGGTGGCGTGGGTGGGTGGGGTGGTTGGGTTGGTGTTCTGCGCTTGGCGTGCGTGCGCTGTGCGATATAATTTATGTTTCAATAACTTTCGAAACTCATTGAAAAGTCGCTTATGTTTGCTTCAATGGCAGCACCAACAACAACAGCAACAGCAACAACAATGAACATAAGAAGAATGCTAAAAGTACAACAATAAATTGTTTGGATTTACTTATGCGAATGGGTGGGAAGGCAAAGGAAAAGGCATTATGGGTGGTAAGGTGATGTGGTGGTGTTACTTGCCTCTTCCGCTCTTTTTAGCCGGGACTGCCATTTGCCATTTTACTCAATTTTTTATTGTTGCTGCACTTGAGCGACCCCGCTTTGTCTTGCCACCCGCAACAAGAAAATTCCCGCTCAACTTGCAAAACTTTTGCTATTTTCCCTCTCTTTCTGTTTTCTGTGAATGTGTTTTGTTTGCCATTTGCTTTCATTTTGTTTTTCATTTTTTTTTCCCCGCCCCTCCCAGCTAGCTAGCTAGCTGTTGGTATTTATTTTGTTTTTCAGCTTTCAGCTTCTGCTACTGTTGTTCATTTTGCGCTTTTAAAATTTATTTGCAAGTTTTCTAATTTGTACTTCACTCCATTTTATTGTAATATACAATCTCATTTAGAGTAAGATATCTCGGAGCATCTATCTAACACGCACACCCACGAGGCAGAGAAATAAATGGCTGCACGGAAAAGAATTCATTAAACTTCAATAAAACTTTCCAAAAAAAAATAATGAGCTTTTCAGGAAAAAGTATCTACAATTTATAGATCCTAGACCTTAGAATTACATTTATATTTACGGAAGTAATAGCATTTTTCTCAGTGCTTGAACTTCGGGTAAAATATATATGAAGCCCCCATAAGTATGCAATGCCTGCTGATGGCTGATCCTAACCGTGTATCCTTGCTTCCTGTTTGGAACTGGGGCGCATATTTATTAACCACACTGTTGACTCTCGCTGCGGCAACTTTGCGTGCAGCTTGTTGCTTCTCCCTCTCTCTCTCTGTCTTTGTCTCGCCTTCTCACTTGACTTTCTCAATTCTCCATTTGGCCGCCTTCCCTGTCCCCGTCCCTGTCCCAGTCCCTGTTGCTTGTTTGAATTTTGTTGTCGCACCTTCTCAGGAATTCTGTTTACATTTATTACTTTGCGCAAGTTTAAGTGAAAAATTTCCATAAACATTCTTTTAAGCGACATAAAGTTTTTATTAAATTTTGCTAGAAATCCCTGACACGATGATATCAGGCAACAACGGCAATGCCAACAGCAACGGCAACAAATAGAGCTGCGGAATTTACAACTACCAGAGGGTAGGAACTCTCTGGTTGAGCACAGCTGCCACCCCTTGCTGTTGGTTTTTAAGATACTTTCCAGAAATGGTGGGTGGGGTAGGGCAGAAGATGAGGAGTGTTTTTACTGATGGCAGTACGAAATACTCCTGCTGCTGCTGCTGCTCCTGTTCAAGCTGATGTTGCTGATGCTACCAGCTTCTAGTGGCACTGCTGCACGCAGTTCATAAAAATTTTGCCAGCCAACATGACATGCACAAAGGCGAAAGGACACACGACAGGATCTGGTCGCCAGGCTTGGAGACTCGCAACTCGGAATGCCGCACAAACTTTCGTCGCTTGTTAACCTGAGAGCTTCGCCAACGCCGCCACCGCCTCCGCCTCTGCCACTGCCATTGCCACCGCCGTTGCCACTCCACTGACATTAGATGAAATTCAATTAAAACAAAGATATATTTCGTGGGGCGAATTCCATTTCAACAACGGCACCAGCAGTTGCTTAAAAGAGCAAAAAAATGCGACAAGGACAGCTGGAACTTCCTGGTATTACGTATACGCCCCATAAAACGCTTAATTAGAGTAAAAGAAAAACACTTGTTAGTTGACTTGTTTTTTATACAAGTCTCTGTTTAAGTAAACTAGATTGATTAATGCAAAATTCAAATTAAATTAAATAGAGTCCCGAGTCCTGAGATTAATTAATGCAAAAATAAAAATAAAGAACAAATCCCGCATGTTGCGTATACGCCCCATAAACCATTTAATTAGCATGAAGAAAAAGAGCCAGAGACCGGGGGGGAAATGAATACTTCAGCTTCGAATTTTGTTTGGTGTATATTGAAATTGAAATTGACTCGTTTAAATGCCGCCTCATTATTCATACTGTCCGCAGAAACCAGCTAATTTACGTTAAGCATTTTTAAATAAGGTCAAAGTGGGCGATGCGACAGCAGAAGGGCTATCGGCAGGGAGTGTGCACTGGACACGTTCAGCCGACTGAAAGTTGATCGAAACCGCAACAAATGACAAACGTTACGGGCAAAATACACACAACACAAAAATACACACTCCCTCCTGGATAAGTGGGCGAAAAATGGAGTAATTGGGGGCTTTCAGAAAATGGGGGTATGGGGTTATAGCAGGAGTTGAGTTGCACAGAAGGGAGAAAAAAATAAAATCAATGAAAATGAAAACCAATTAGCGGTTAACCAAACTGTTCAAATTTGGAAATGGATGCAGCCGTGCATGGCCATAAACAACAACAACAACAAGGACAAAAAGTACCGGGCAGGAGGGACTGGACAGATGAGGTATGGAGAGGTCAACGAGAAGACCTCTGAAAGGTAAAAGGTTGCCGGGTAACAAATTTATTACACGAACATAGGAAATAATTAAAATGTGTTCGAGAGCGGATGGCATGAGAAGTGGAAATGCGATGAGGAAGAACTTTTTGATTGATCAATCAAAGTTGAGCTCGAAAATTGTCTATCCCAACAATAAAGGCAATCTGCCACAATGGAATAATAAATCAAAAGTGAAATTAAATCAAAAACATTCAATTAGTTCCACCTTTAAGATGTTTTCTCCCCCAAAACCAACATAAAGGTTATCCCAAAACAATAAATAATTCTTCAAGAATTAAGACCAATCCTTGTATCCTTTCTTATGTATATCCTTCGCACTCACCTGGATCTGCGCGTCGTGGGATCCTTCATGACCATAGCCTCTGAGATATCACCATAACGTCCAAAGTAATCGCGTAAGCTCTCTGAAAGAAAGATAAACAAGGAATCTAGTGAATAATCAATCAAGGCTGCTTTATGAAAGTGTCCTGGAGGATATTCCCAAGTGCGGTCATCAAAATCACGACGCCAAAGTTACTAATTTCGTTACGCGCTTAATAAAAATAAACCCCAAACACAACAACAAAGAAAAACAAATTTCGCGTAATGCCCAAATAAACAAACTGGTTGGGCGAAGACCCCCCGAACATTTCCTTCTGTCCCCCGATGAACTCCAACCCCTTTGCATACGCAACTGGACATTATTCACATGCAGACGCGTAAAATACACGTTAAAAAACAGGTATTTCTTTGATAAAATTTCAAAAAAAAAATATACAAAAATTTGCTACATTTTGTTCATTTTTGTGATGGAAAAATATCTATAACTCGACTAATATTTGGTTGATCTTAAAAAGTTATACCTTCCCGATCTCAGAACTTCAAGTACTACCATTCTGCATGAAAACATTGAAAACAAATTTTTGACCCATTTTTTGAAATTTTTCAAAGGCCATAATTTTGGCCAAAAATTTGAAAAAATTGTATTTGTTTTATTTTCTTAATCCTTTAATGCAGATCTAAGCAGATTTAAACTCTGGTTCGTAAATAATATTCCGTTTGTCGATCGGTTTTGAATGAACTAAAATATGCGCTAAAAAGTAAATCAAGATTTAATATTTTGGCCAAAAAAAAAACTGGAAGACGTTGTTCCAATTTTTGAATTTTCATTATGGAAAAATATGCATAACTCGGCCAAAACTCGGCAGATTCAGAAATGTTATACCTTCCCAATGTCAAAACTTCAAGTACCACAATTCTGCATAAAAACAATGCAAACAAATTTTTGACCCATTTTTTGAAAATTTTCAAAAGGGTAACATCATGATTTTGGCCAAAAACGTGGTAAATTTTTTTGAATTTTTAATGCAGGTTGAAGGAATATTGTTCTCTGATTCATAAATGATAGTCAGTTTTCCCATTGGTTCCAAAACAGGTAAGATATTCTAAGATATATTCTAAGGTATTATAAGGTAAGATATATTTTTTTTCTGTGTAAACACACACATTGGAAATATATAGAGACCACTTCAGAACCGCTGCTTTGGCGGTTGCCAGCGGCAGCTGTTGTCTGCGGTTTTGCGAGCTAATCTGACTCCGGCCGGAGGATTGGGTCTCCCCGGGTCCTGGAGCCTGGGGCCTGGGGCCTGGCTGGAAGCACTTCAGTGGCACGTACGCACACAAACGCAACACTGAAGTTATTTCAACAAAATTGCCAGACGGCTGGGGAGTCTGAGGAAGAGATACCAAGGCTCGTTGGCTGCGATTTAATGCAGGCCAAAAACAAAAATATAAAAACGAAGCGAAAAAAAAAAACAAAACCGATAAAGTCATCTCTTAGTGGTCCCGGGACTGGTCCCGGGAAGGGAACCCTAATCCAGTCGAGTGTCGACACTGGCGTCATAAATTCAAACTACAATAAAAATTCAATAAAACAAACGATTTTTCCGCTCACGCCGCCGCTACAGCCAAGACGCTTCAGCCATAAATGTGGTGCGATTTCTTGCACCAGAGTAGCCCCAACATGTAGCCACCAGCACTACCAAGGATATAGAACCACCAACATACACGCACTGGGAAGGATAGAGAAGGGTTTGGTCTTAGAGATACTTAGGAGTTTGATATAAATATAATATGTTATGAGAATTCAATGTTTTCTTTGAGATTAAAATAAAAATATATCAAAAAAGGACTTGACATTTTAAGGTTTACTTCCTAGTATTAATATTAAATATTTTATAGTCTTATACTCTTTCTTTTTATATAAAAAATACCCTGTATTTGAAGTCTAGAGCAACTAGTTGCGCCTTGTGTCGATGCAAAAAGCCAGCAGGCAAGTACCAGAGGCAAGGGGTAGAGCCAGGAGCAAAAGGGTCGGAAAATGGGTGACAGGAGCGGCACATAGACAGACATGGCAACACAAACACAAGCACACACGCACACTCAGACACTGTCAAGTGGGGGCAATGCAACAGCGAACCGCGAAACGCAAAACGTAAAACGCGTCGCGTGATTTACATAAGTATGCACAATAATTATGAACAATAAAAAACAATTTGTTTGCTTATGACAGTTTTGGAATCATAAATAACAACAGCAACTGGCGCAGCAGCGGTTCGAGTGGCAAGTGGATGTGGAAAATGGGAAATGGCAAGTGGAAGTGGCTGCGTGTGTTTGTGCGGGGCATGCAAATTGATGGGGCAGCCAAAAGGGTTGCGTTCCATTTCGTTAGGTTTGTTGCGTATGTGGCGCTGCAAAGTATGCTACACTTTAAGTTTTAATGGCCAATTGCAACCGTGTTGCATGCAGAAGCATGTGGCAGCACTAGTCTATGGCATAACTTGGTCATTAGTTTGGGAGTTTGGAGTCGGGGTGAGTAAATAAACAAGGTAGCTCTATCCAGGTGTGTTGCAAGTTTATAGAGTGAATACTGAATTGATTTTTAATTCCTTAATCTGCACTCTCCACTCAATTATCCTTTTGATTTAGAATCCGCACACTCTGCTTGCCGGATGGAATGAAATGCCAAAAATGAAATCATCATCAAAATGTCAATCAGTGCGCCATGCCACCGCATGTGTCAGGATATGCGAGGAATACCTTTCCGCCCAATTAACCCGTTTGCTGTTTCTCGCAGTGCAGGCACAGTACCCTCCCCCTGCCCTCCTCCCCTGCCCTAGCCCGCTGTCAGGCAATGCTACGTTCAGTTTTGAGTGACAGCTGCAAAGTTTGTTTTGCATTTCATATTTGCGAGCTCGTCTGCAGTGGTGCTTGCCCCGCGCCGTTGCAAGTCCGTCAGAGTGTGCTCAGTGCCAACTGTCACTTGACCGGCCAAGTCCCGTCCCTCCCCTCCTGTTACCAACCAAATATGGCCAATAGAAAAGCAGACAAACAAAATAAATGTGTAAATGTGAAAAAGCACAAATTCTCACAAAAAAGTGAATAAAAAAGAAGGAAATGGTCAACAAATTAAAATGCGGCAAAATAAAAATAAAATTTAAATTTATTTGCTACAAAGGGGAGGCGGGTGAGAAAAAAAAAAAACACACTGTAGAAGAATAAAATAAAATATACAATGGACGGAGGTCGGAGGACGGCGGAGCAACGACAAGAGCGAAATATATTGTAACGGGCCAAAAGCCAAACTTGGATTTAATTAAAATGTTTACCACAGTCATTTCATTTTCATAGCCAGCAAACATAAATTTTGAAACGCATAACAAGGGGCATGTGGCACAAGGGGCAGTGAGCGACAGGGAGACAAAATAAAAGAAAGAGAGAGAGGCAGAGTGGGTCAGAACCGCAGAGCGAAACAGCTGCAAGAAAATGCCAAAAACCATTAAAGTTGCCACACCCACACACACACATACTAAAGCACGCATACTAACAAAAAAAGGACAAAAAATGGCTGCTTTGATTTTTGTAGTTATTTTTGAAGGATTTTAATAATATATCTAACATTTAATACTTTATGCCAAACTCTAGAATTAATTCCAAAAGGTATCAATATTTTTTTTTTTTATTTTAAATCCCATTTATTATATCCTTTATAAGCTCTTTTGGAATTTTTGGAAAATCAAATACAAATCTTTCCATTTTGCGGTGTGAAAACAATAAACGATAAACAAAATAGCTTCAATCTGGAAAGGAAAATGAATTTGCAGGTAATTAGTTCAAGCAGGCACAACACAAACACCATAACACCAACACCCACACAACCACACACCCTTATACACACACACATACATATAGAACACAAGCAAAGTCAGCATAAAATTTATCCCAAATCCATTTAGTAAGATTATTTATAAGAAAACTCTTGCCACTCTCTACAATCTTAACCCTGTTCTAACAACAACCCAAGGCAATCCGTTTTGCGGTTGCAGGCATATTAACCCCTTAACGTTAGACCACCCAACCACCCCCCTGTAGTGCCTCCCATTCATCTAGCCCCTTCAGAAAGTCCCCAATAGGCCACCGCACATGTTGTCAAAAGCACAATGCTGAAACCATAAATTTATGTGCTTTCTATTGTTTTTGCCAAAGAAAGCGGAAGTTGTGTGCTCTCTGCGGTGAGTGGGTGAGCAGAGAAGGTGGCACAAAAAGGGGGGAAGGGGTATGGTGCCTCGTAGGCGGAAACAAAAGCAAAAACTGCAAAACAGCAACAAAAACCAGAAGGCCAGAATGGGTGAAAAAGGTGTGCGCAAAGGGATTTCAATCAATTGTGAGGCAACTGGCAGCCAAAGCAACAAAAACTAAAGCTCAGCCTCCAAGTCAGTCCCTCTTTTCCGTTTGGTTTGGCTCTGCTGGGAAATGCACTGAGAAAAAATTATAAAAAAATAAAGGAAATCAAGCTAGAAAGGATATTTAAAGAGATCTTTAAGCTATGAACTTGTTGGACTTAGAAACTTATTAAAAGTAAAGTAACTTATCGATCTATAGAATTAATAGCCTTATTAAATCCTTATAATTTTAATAAAACTTAAATTCAAATTTAATATGTTTAAATATTAAGTTACTTATATATTCCTTGATTTTTTAATTATTTTTCCAGCGCATCGTTTGTTGTAGAACGCAAATTGCTATTTGGTCTGAACAGAAAACGAGATGGCAATTCACAAAACGAAAGAGATACCCGCCCCGTAAGAGGAAGTGAGATAGATTAACAGAGAACGAAAGAGATGGGAATAGAGAAGACGAGCCTGTTGTAACACATCCCGGTCGTAGCATCATTTTTCATGCGCTCCAACAACTTTTGACAAAGGTCGGTCAAGCAAGTCTTAAAAACTTTGCGACAAGACAACGCACGTTCCGTTTTGAGTCCCTCCCGTGGCACTCCTGCCATTCCTCCTGCCACACCCCCCCAGGAAATCTCCTGCCTTTCGCTTAGTGAATTACGCCGGCTTTAAGGGGTTAAGGTTCAGGC